GTACAACGAGAGTTTCACGTGGTCTAACCTACGAAAGTTTGAAGTTATAAATTTTTTTTTAGAAGGGCGCCTCTTGATAGGGGGCCCTGGGGGAAATTCCTCATATCCTCCACTCCAGGCGGGGGGTTATCGTGAAATGGGGACGGATATACGGCACTCGACTAATACCTCGGGAAGTAACATTGTCATTAAGTCTATGTTAATCGAATATATTTTTCTGGAGTTTAACTTCGTGACCAGAACCGGCAGAAAAAGTGAGTTAGACGTTATCCATCTAGAGCGGAAAGTGGATCCGCTCCACCACTAGAACTCGAATTTTTCCAACCACTGGTGACGAGATCCAAACAGTAGTCTATTTTTATGATTCATTACGAGGTCTACTTGACTAGTCACAAAGTGAAGACGTCCTTTCAAAGTAGTACTCACGGATGTGCCTGTGGTGGTAAGGTGAAGACCCTGGACTTTCCCCCTTAGGACCGGAGGGGACTTGGTGGTTGGTCTACCTGGTTTGAGGATGCGACGGCAAGAGGGGGGGACGCCCGGCCAGTCAGAGAGGAGGGAGCGACCCCTTTGTAAAGTGAATCTTGTCCCTACCCGTTTACCCCCGGGGTGAAGGAGAAAAACGCCGGGAGTCTATTAAATATTTGTTCATTAATAAATTTTTTAATAATAATATATAAAACAAAATGAACATCATGACTATGGCATGGTGATGCTGAGATCAAAGCAACGCTCCCGACGCATGTACTAAAGTTTATGGCGTTTTATTAGACACCTGCCGTAAACACAATAACACAAATAAAGGCCCCTTTGGGAGTGTTCTTTGTGGCCGATCAACAATACGGACGACACTGCAATTCAACGGAGACAGTTAATACGGAAATGTCAATTGTAGAGTTATGCGAGTGTACAGGCACGAAAGGTTATCAAACTTTATCAAAGTAAGGTGACAAATTGTTGGACAAGTTATGTTTGTACGTGAACATTGTTTACTTTTGTAAAGGACACTTGACTATAAACAAATCACTCGAATAATCTCCTACAAGGGTAAAAAACCCCCTACAGGGAAACTAACATTTTACAGTTACTTCTACAAGGTCTGAATCATATGAAACAATATTAAATGTATGTTGTGTACCTTAAAAAACACACACACACAAGGTCACTTAGACACGGGACCACCGGTCAATGTAGTTACTACGACCGGGGGTGGGTAGTTTCAACGGGTAGAGACTGACCTTGTATCTTATCCCTAGGGAGTCTATGTGTCACGCGTCTTTTATATAATTGAGGGTCCAAAAATACAACAAGAATTTGTATTTAAGTTAAACTAATTTGCACAGAAAAAAATTGGAGTTAGACGTCATTTCTTAAAAGTTTTTTGCTTTTCCCTAGAATGTTTCAGTTCCATAACAACCAAAATAAAAACCACACGTCGTCAAATTTTATGAAAGTTGGTCTTTTCCATGGATACCTCTCAACACCCATATGAAACAGAACTGTAAACAGATTTTCTTTTTCTTTATGGATATTTTACAAATCACTCCCCTTTTAAACTGTATTTTTGTTTTACTGACATACTGTATAGTAGGCTATTTCATACCTGTTTTTCATTTATTCTCTTATTGTTTGTATAACTATAATGATCATATGAAGGTGTGCTGCGGAAATAATCTTTTGAATAATTTGTGGACAAAACCGTTCTAAACACTCAGAGAGTCCTTTAGCTCACCTGAGCCCCTCAGTCTGACAGGAGAGGACTCTCCTCCAGCTTGTTGTGGAAACAGCTCCTTATGTCCGTTAGTTAGTTAGTGCAGCTAGCTAACCAGATGCTAACATCACGGTCCCCACTAGCACCGGTCCCTCTCTCTCCCTCTCTCCCTCCCTCTATCACACTAAATGCGCTATTGCCACACACACACAGAACCGAGCTTGAATGACACAAGCACACGTGTATTTCCATGCAACTCTCTGATTGGTCTGGTGTCTTGCCTCTGTTGCGTTCAGTGAACACGGGAAATTACAGTCCTGCCGTTGTCTCTTGTGTCATGATGAGGTTCACGTAAAGCACGGTTAATGTATTATATTATTGAGGTGTCTCAAATATATGTCAATCAAGTGGCACCTGCTAACGGGGTGGTGGATGATAGGTTTACATCTAAAAACGTATTTTTCAAACATTATTATTTTAATTTAATTTTTCTTTCTTTTGTTACTTTTTTTTTTAACGGTCCGCGATCTACCCGCACCACACTCGCGATCGACCGTTCGATCGCGATCGACTGGTTGGCGACCACTGAACTAGAGGATTCAAATGCTGTGGTCACTTTGGGATTTTTGTCTTTAGACGTTAACTTGCATTCATTCAGAATCACAGTAAACCAGTCTGGGTACCAATTATCAACACTAGTATGAGGGTTGCGTAACTTTTTAGTCATTTTGCTTCAGTTTGTCGTCATTTTACAATAGATTTGTGTCTCTGAAGTCCTCTGTGTCTCTTTTTGGTTGTTTAGCTCGCTTGTTTTCAGGTCATAGTGCAAATAAAAAAAACTCAATTAAGTTAAGTTTAAACATACAATAATAATACAAACAGTATCTACAAATCCAAACATGACTTTAAGACGTTTCAGATGTACCTGTCTCTGCAATGCCGATGTTTAGGATGGGAGCCTTGTGTTTCAGTGGGAAGTCCTCCGGGGCAGCTTTGAAGTTCATAGTGCCGTCCTCCTTTTTGGTCATTTTGAATATTCTAATGGTGTCTCCATTAGCCAGCCAGGTGATGAATGCCCTGTAGGAGAAAGTGTGCATTAGTATGAGCCTGCGTCCAAAAATCACCTCAAGAGGAAACAGTACTATTTTTTAAACACTGACGAAAGAATCTAAATGTTAATGGGTTTTTGTTTTGGCTGAGCTAAGGCTTAAAGACATTCCTGATTGGGCAGGCATTTGGGTATTTTATTCTATGAATTTATTGTGTTTTTCACAATAAGTCCCTCCCTTTACGGTGGGCCACCATGGGACCTTATTTCGGAAAAAATATGTATTGTAGTCAACGGGGAGAGAGAAATAATTGTTTTATCCCGTTTGAATTGTGCCATGAATTACACATGTTTGTCAATTAAAAAAAAAAAAATTCCAAGTTAAGAAAGTCACAGTTTGTCGTAAAACTGTTGAAATATAAGACTATGAAAAATACACAACTAGAAAGACTACAAATACAAGAGTAAGTAACCTTGTACAGCCATTCCAGCATGCTGACTCTTACGGAACCGACTAACTCCCCTTTTGTGTAATAGCAGCTGTCAACATGCCCAGAAGTGTAATGATTTCCACCTCCTTTAATACTTTTCACCTCATTCTGGTGTTGCTGGCGTGTAGTGTGCGACACCAGAGATGTGGTTCATTGAGCGGTTTCACACAAAACTAAGTGTTAATTCGCAGTTTTACGACAAACTTTTTTTTTCTTGACTTGCAAATGTATCTTTTTAAATTGACAAACATCATATGTTTAATTCGTGGCACAATTCAAACGGGATCGAAAAATTATTTCTCTCTCCCCATTGACTTCAAGTAACTATTTTTTCCGAAATAAGGTCCCATGGGTCGGAAGTAGAAGGGCAGGACTTCGGCTCTCTATTGTGGTTTTAGCACTTTGTTAAGCACTTAGTGACACGGGTTTTATAAATGTTACTTACTTATAGTTTTTTTATTATTTAGAGTTGTTTAGGGGTATATATCTATATGAGGGTCTGCACTAGTACAATAGCAGAGAGAGGTGGAGACCTGGAGTCGGGGCTGAAGCGGACCAGCGTGGCGTGATCCAGATCCACGTTGGCGCGCAGACACTTGTGTTCCCGCTCCAGGAAGTCTTTGGTGCTCCAGATCCGGACGGTGCGGTCGTCAGCGCAGGACGCCAGATACTTCCCGTTACTGCTGAAGTCCAGACACGTCACGTTCGCACTGTGGCTCTGAAGAACACGGACACAAAAGCACAAAAGCTTTAAGAAGTGGCTTTGGGAGAAAAAGCCTGAAGTGACATCACTAATACAGTTGCCAGTTTTTCAGTTTCTTTTTTATTCTTTATTTATTTGGGGTCACGTTAAATAAAAAATACAGTTTTGCTAATCATATATTTTTTAGAGACACGAAAATGACAAATTAAATACCGAACAAAATTGGTAAAACAAAACGAAAACGTACATAGGGGTTGTTTGAAATGACAAATATCTACACATGTACACCATTTTTCAGTTTCATCTAGTTAAAACTAACACTTCTGAGTTCAACATATACATCGTATTTCCATGAAGGTCATTATGCTTTTATGTTGTTTTTGTTTAGTTCTGCAACTAACAATTATTCTGATCAATAATAATAAATGCCATGCCACCACGCGACATCAATGAGGGCAAACTAAAGAGAAATAGGGGCTTTTTGACTTCTAAACTGTTGATAACTACAAACATGTTGTAGAACAAGGACCCTCTCATTACTCAGAGGCAGTTGTAATGTCACCGTGTGCTCAGGTTTACCTTCAGTGAGGCGGCCAGCAGCTGGTGGCTGAACGTGTGCTGCGAGGCTTTATCCTTTCGGACGCGCAGCTTCTCCTGCTTTGGTTTCTTGGACGCAGGAACCTTTGCAGCACTGCCGTCAGCTGAGAAACAAAACAGACGGTGACTCAAAAACATTTCAATTTATGAGACTGCAAACATAATTCTGTACTATTAAAAAGGTCTCTGGTGGACAAAGGGGTGACATGGATTTTGCAGTTCCTAACATCTTGCAACAACAAAACTATGCTATGGAAGCATCTGTTGTAAAGAGGTGTTTCTTCCTTCCTTCAATGATGTAAATTTAAAACATATAAAAACAGTATAATTCAGAAACCCAAAACGTTTTTGACCCAATTGAAGGAAAGACAAATGATTCAAACTTCTATTTTAGTCTTGTCTAAACAGTTTAGCACGAAAGATAAGATAAGATGTACTTTAGTGATCCCAATTTAAGAAATGTTTGAGTTGCAGCAGCATTTAAAACAAGGCATTGCACATAAGAGAAATTAAGAGTAGAACTAATCAATTATAACGTTGAACATCTCAAAATAAAAATAAAACAATAGAAAGTAGAAAACATACTGACGAAAATGGTTTTGTTTTTCCAGTCCAGAAAAGCCTAAATGACCCTTAATCACAACATGCAACTGGGCTTTAAATATCTAGTTTGTCCATTTCTCATAAAGCCGATACAGTCTTCTCAGTAGGTTAAACTGTCCAGATCCAGAGCGATGCAAAAGCAACACGCTGCCCGTGAATTGAAGCCTGTTTTAGGCATTATTGTGCAAAAGGGCGTCTTCCTATTTAAACCTGCACACATATTGATGCTAGGCTTCCTGCATCTTTGACTAAAGACTGCTGATTTCTCGTTTCCTTATTGCACTTATTCTTAGATGTGTCTTTGGGCACATTCAATCATCTGCAAGTACAGAACAAACCCTTAAAAGAGGCCTTCCTACAACCTAAAACGAAGCTCTGAAGCACTGAGAGGTCAAAGAGCATCATGGTTGAATTTTGATCTCATGTTTGCATAATTTATAGTCAATGAAGACAGGTGACAGTCACTCAAAGTTGCTGTAGTTTCTATTACTCGCTTCGTAATGTGTCTACGTAACGGTGGAGGTGCAGTTCTTACACTCACACATACATGAATGAATGGACATGTGTGTGTCAAAGACCCCAGTGATAGTGACAGTTAATGACTCATTACTCGGCTAGAGTTACGTTAGCTTAGTGTGTCTCTTACCGGTCAACTCCGCCGCTTGCTCTATTTCCTCCCTTATTTCTTCTTTCCTTTTACCTACCGCTATTGCGACGAGTATAACCAGTGCACCCAATAATAAGGTCAAAGCGACTAATGCTGCTACTTCCATCATGTCAAAAGTTTGGTGCCACGTACTTTAATACACTGCTAACGTCTACTTGGCTACTACCTCGCTACCTGAGGCTACTGCGCATGCGTGAAAGTACGTTGTCGTCTTCTTCTTCGTTGATTTAAATGTCGGCAAACAACGAAAAGCGCCAATAGCGCCAATTACTGGACAGGAGGGTTGGCATAAGGCAATGCGTAAAAGGATATAGACAGGGGTGCACATAAGTGGTACGCAGGTACGCATGCGCGGCAACAATCTGAAATGCGTACCGTCACTTGTGTCACAAAGCGCATTTGCGTACCGATGTATATGTGAAGCTTTTCCATAAGGCGGTTAGATCACCGGACGACGCAGTCGGTCTCCGTGTGCAAAGACAGGGCTGCTGTTAACGTCGGCCTGTACAGCAGCACTGCGCTAAAACAGCTGATCACAACGTTCACACGCTCTGTGGTCACGAAGCTCTGCACTCTACTACTACC